ATGTCCATAATATCTTACTCTCTCTCTCTCTCTCTCTCTCTCTCTCTGTATATATATATATATATATATATATATATATATATAGGCATGGTGGCGTAATGGATAGCGGCTTGGATTGAGGAATGTAATGGATTCCAGTCAAATCCATTACATTCATTTACGTGCTAATACCCTTGGGAAAGGTGTGAATCCTCTTCTTCTCCTTCCAGCTATGGATAAATAGAAGGACGAACTGGGTTCTATAGCCTTGGATGGCAACTTGTCTAGGAGAAGGAAAACTCTGAATTCAATACCTGCGGAGGGTCGTAGTGCACCAGGTCTCTGTATTCGGCCCTTCAAAAAGTGTAGATGGTCCTGCATGAAACCTTCACCACTCTAATCAAATCTCATGTGCATCAAATCTCATGTGCATCAAATCTCATGTGCTGTTGTCGGGCTTTCGGTTTCCTAGGAACCGATCTGCTTGACCATCATACGTCGTATTCAACGGGAGAGTCGAGTATATATATATATATATATATATATATATATATATATATACTCAGAGTGGCGACAGTCTGTTTCGTGCGTGAACGTAAACTTCAGGCCAATCGTTGTTGACTTCAGTGTCCACTTTTATATTTACATATGATCAATAGCTGTTATGGATTAGTTTTACACATAGATGAAGCAAACCTTCAAACTATATTTTTATTGGTATACATATGCATACGTAAATACATACACATTTATTAATCGCTAAACATTAAAAAAAAACTTTAACAAAAATACTGTTAAGATCAGATATAGCTGTGTTAGTAACATCGGTAAATCTATATCCCAACATAATATTATATTAAACAAGTACATGTCCAATATACACAACAGAATTAATGTTTTTAAAAATAAATGCAACTGCAGAAAAAAAAGAAAAGAAATAATCTGTCCCTTAAACGGTCAATGCATGACTGATAATATTGTATACTGAGCTAGCGTGCATTCCGGTAACGATGTCAGATTTTTTTTTTTTTGTACCACTGAAACCCTTGGGAATATCGTTTCTACTATCATCAAATGACTTTAGGCAATATAAAATACATAGACAGCACTGTTCTCTCTAAACATTTCTTGTAATTAAACCTATTATTATGTTGGATATTGTAGCAAGAGCCAAATCATAAGGTCGGAAAGTCAACGGATATAATTTATGTCTTCGTAAAAATGAGTTATCTTAAAACATTTAATTAAACAAGAGAAATGAATTAATTGTTACATGCAGCCCTAAAAATAAATATCTGCTCTAATACGTTGATTCATTAGCCAGAAAGCCGCGCATATATTCATATATACAAAGTCTCTTTTTTTTATCTATCTATCTATCTATCTATCTATCTATCTATCTATCTATCTATCTATATATATATATATATATATATATATATATATATATATATATATATATATATATATATGTATATGTATATATTCTCTTTCTATCTTAGTATGTCATTCTCTTTCTATCTTAGTCTTTTCGTATATCTTTATATCTATTCCTATCTAAGTATGTTTTTCTATCATCTATCTATCTATCTGTCTATCTATCTATGTTCATCTATCTTTTCTTGTATCTATTTATTCATCTATCTATCTATCTATCTATCTATCTATTTTATTCTTATCTATCTATTTCTATGTATCTATTTTAGTCTGCTTCTATCTATCTATCTATCTATCTATCTATCTATCTATCTATCTATCTATCTATTTTAGTCTGTTTTTCTATCATCTATCTATATGTTCTATCTATCTTTCTGTCTATCAGTCTGTTCATTATCTATCTATCTATCTATATATCTATCTATCTATCTATCTATTTTATGTTCTATATATCTATCTGTCTCAGTCTGTTCATTATCTATCTATCTATCTATCTATCTATGTTCGTATATATCTTAGTCTGTTTCTATCTATCTATCTATCTATCTATCTATCTATCTATCTATCTATGTTCGTATCTATCTTTGCTCGTCTATCTATCTTATCTATCTATCTATCTATCTATCTATCTATCTATCTATATAGTCTCATCTATTTTCTATCTATGTTCGTATTATCTTATGTTTCTATCTATCTATCTGTCTATCAGTCTGTTCATTATCTATCTATCTATCTATCTATCTATCTATCTATCTATCTATGTTCGTATCTATCTTAGTCTGCTTCTATCTATCTATCTATCTATCTATCTATCTATCTATCTATCTATCTATCTATGTTCGTATATATCTTAGTCTGTTTCTATCTGTCTATCTATCTATCTATGTTCGTATCTATCTTTGCTCGTATCTATCTTAGTCTGCTTCTATCTATCTATCTATCTATCTATCTATCTATCTATCTATCTATCTTGCAGATAATCATGATATTAAGCAATACAAAAGGACCCACAAGTGAAATGAATGCTGATAAAATGCTTATTCAGCGCAGATAAATTTATGAGACTCAATCATTATTTTCTTTCTTGTTCAAGGCGGACAGTGAGCAACAAAAGATCGCTGTCTTGTTTTATTCATGAAAGACTCTGAAGTTTAGGCCCGCTGTTTACTCAGGCGATACAATATTTTTTTTCTTCTTAAATATTCCCGCTAAAATTACGCCATCCTTCATGTGTACAAGAGAGTTTTAAGATCTTGTTGGTGTCAACTCGTGGAGTCAGGCGTACGAAATATTGGCTGGTCACAGCTGTATTTGAATCTATACAGCTGCAGAGGTTAACACTTATCCTACCACCATTAATTTAATTTTGTCTCAGACTTGGAACGCTTTAATATATATATATATATATATATATATATATATATATATATATGTGTGTGTGTGTGTGTGTGTGTGACCTCCTCACTTTTTTAAAGAAATCTAAATTTTTTAACACAATTTTATGTCTTCAACTAAGTATCATATGTATGCCTTTAACTACAGATAAAATGTACCGTTGGTAATTTTACTATAAAAAATGTAAGATGATGATGGTGATGATGATGCTGAATGAAGAAAGAAAGAAAGAAAGAAAGAAAGAAAGGAGGAAAGAAAGAAAAGTAGAGGATGATGAGGAGAAAGAATGAATAAGGACAATTTATAAATACGAAGAAGAAACTAAAAAAGCAAAACGTCAAATTTTCGTTGAATTATATATATATATATATATATATATATATATATATATATATATATATATCAGGAGGAAGAAGTTATAGTGGTTCCAACGAGAGAAAAGTGTGTATATTAAAAAGAAGAGAGAAACCTCAATCGTTTTTGGCTGAAATGTGGATTTTTTTTTTAAATAAAAAATATGCTTCTTTATTTTCCATAATTTCGCTACACACGTTTCCGTTCTCGCGACCGTCATCAGGCAAAGCGTGAAGATTTCCACATATTATTAAAAATAATTGATTTCTTTCTTATGTTTTTCGATGTTAAATATTCTCGATATGAGACATTCTCTTTTTTGTGCCTTATTGACCCAAATGTCTTTCTTGAACTGGCAGTGAAAAGTTCTGCGTGAAGGATTATAAAACAAGTAAGAATGGTCCGAGAAATGGTGACGGATTTATCGCCATTCTTATCTTTTAATGGCACGTGTATTCTTAGATCTATTTCCATTGTCTTGTAGTTTTTGTCACCATGCGTGTATATATATATACTACCTCTCCATACATACATACTGTCCTATTATGAGAAATTAGTAAACACATTTGTACACATACACACATATACAGACACATACACACATATACAGACACATACACACACACACACACACACACACACATATATATATATATATATATATATATATGGAGTGGGCTTGTCCTTCCTGACAAATCGCCCCTGGTGAGATTCGAACCCAGGTCTCATGATCAGAGTGTTCTAACCACTCGGCTACATCCTGATGTCTGGAGTAGGGGCGGTCCCAGCGTGCGGCACCTTAGGAAAGTGCCTGAAAACAATATCACGGGTTGACCCAAGCCTTGAGAGTGAAACTGGGTAGACGGGACGCTTGGGATCGTCGATAGCTGTGCCAGCACGAAGTCGCAAGTCATCGTGACCGAGAGTTTGAGCGTGCTGGTGTTGTTCAGATTGTTGATCATTCTAGATAAACCACTCTTTCCAAGAAACTGTAACATAGGTCTGCTCAGCATAGTTGCAGTATAAACCATAGGCGGGCACTGTGGGTGTTGAACAAACACAAAAGTGCCTGAGCAAGAGTCTGCAGTAGGGATTGGCAGTACTGCTATTTCCGTGGTAGATGTTCGGGCGAACTACATTCCTTGATTCCACCGGTCCAGACATTCAAAGCGAGTACCCGCAATGCCACGTACATTGAGTTGACTAATTCTCATTCTCTTTATATTCCATTAGTGAGGAGGAAGTTGTATTGTAGAACGGACCCTCGAGAAGATCACTACAACTTTCACCTCTTCAAATAAAGGACAGCCATATTCTAATATTCTCATAATATGAACGTTTTCCTGCTCTTGGCAACCACTTATAACAAGACACCATCCAGTAGCCATCTACCTTGAGTGGCTCTTGTGAATCGTATTGGTTAAATACAAGTAAAAATAACGTTTTGAGAGCAATTCAAGCCATATAATGAAATAGGGAAAATCAGTTTAAAAAAGTAAATAGATTTATGAGGTCGTATGAGTTTTGACGATGCGGGCTTATTTCTGTTTGTTTTTTTTATTTGCAGCACTCGAATATTTGAAGAGTAGGTTTGCGATTTTATATCTGTTGCATTTTATTACAACTCGTAGAATTTTGACGGGTAGGTTTGATATCTTATTTCTGTTGATTTTTATTGCAGCTATAAGATATTTGACGAGTAGTTTTGCTATCTTTTTTCTGTTACATTTTATTGCAGTATGTTGCCTTTTGTTGCATCTCTGAGATATTTGACGGGTAGTTTTGCTATCATATTACTGTTGCTTTTTATTGTAGCTATAACGCATTTGACGAGTAGATTGCAAACTTATTTCTGTTGTGTTTAATTGCATCTCTCGGATTTTTATCTCAGCTATTTGCCGAATTTGTTTATGATCTTATTACTGTTGCTTTTTATAGCAGCTCTCACTTATTTACCGAATATATATTAGTCATCTTATTTCTGTTGCTTTTTATTGCAGCTCTCAGACAGTTTTTACGTGTAGGTGTGCGATCATATCACTTTTGCTTTTTATTGCAGCTCTCAGATATTTGTCGAGTAGGTTTGCGATCTTTTATCAGTTGCTTTTTATCGCCCCTATATACTCCAGGTAGGTTTGCGATCTTAATTCTTTTGCTTTTTATTGCATCTCTCAGATATTTACTCTGTGTTTGTTAAATACTCGCCATGCCACTTGCACAACTTCGATTCCTCCCCATTCCTTTCATATTGCTTTCGTAAGGAGGAACTTCCATTCAACGAGCTTCTTCCCTCGATCTTCACCATTGTGGTCTCTTGGGTTTCTGAGGCAGCGTCCCCTAGCCTTTGAATCTTAACCTCTTCAATTCTAAGGTCAAACCTTATCTATCCTAGCTATCCTTATATTATGCAACTCTTATGCCCTTACAACAACCTTATTTAGTTATACTCTACCTTGAAGGGCTCTTGATGCTTGTTACGGCACATTAAGGCATGAAGTTTGTGCTGGTAGAGAGAATCGAGCTTACGAAATGTTATAAGGGCCTTGAATAAATTCTCGCTGTTTTCCTTCAGATGTCTTTCCCAGAACTGCGTGCGTGTCATTTCAGATGGTAACGCATCTATAAGTAACTACTATAAGCAAGCTTGAAATTCAGCGTATATCATTTCGCCTAAGTGTAAACTACTTTGTTTTTCATAGCGTTAAACATGTCATATTTCATGTCAAAGAAAGTGTATTTGCAGGGAATTTTATTGCACTTTATTCAAAAGAAATCTGCGGCTGAAGCGCACAGAATTCTTGTTGAGACTTACGGTGACCATGCTCTGTCGGAAACAACATTGGTTTAGACGCCTAAAAAATAACGATTTTGACGACGAAGATAAAAACGCTCTGGCGCTCAAAAAAATCTTTGAAGACGAAGAATTGGAGGCATTATTTCATGTCAGGCGCCTCATTAGGAGTTGATCATACAATAGTTTCGGAACGTTTGGAAGCATTAGGAATGATTCAAAAGCAAGGCCATTCGGTGCTGTACGAGTTAAATCCGAGAGACGTTGAACGGCGTCTTGTCACGTCTGAACAGCTGCTTCAACGGCAGAAAAGGAAACGTTTTTTTTTTGCATTGTATAGTTACCGGCGATGAAAAGTGGATACACTACGATAAGCCTAAGCGTAGAAGATTGTGGGGTAAGCCTGACGACGCATCTACATCGGTGGCAAAGCCGAATATCTATGGCTCGAAGCTTCTGCTCTGCTTTTGATGGGATCAGCTGATTGTAGTTTATTATGAGCTGTTCAGACTGACCGAATCTATCACGGAAGATCGCTACCGACTACAATTGATGCGTTTGAGCCAAGCATTGAAGATAAAACGTCCGCTATACGAGCAAAGACGCGACAAGGTGACTTTGCAATATGACAACGCTAGGCCATATGCTGCAAAAGCGGGTGAATATCTACTTGGAAGCGCTTAAATGGGAAGTCATACCTCACCCGCCGCATTCACCAGACATTGCCCCGTCAAATTATCACTTGTTCCGATCGATGGCACATTGTCTGGTTGAGCGTCACTTTCATTCTTATAAAGATGCAAAAAAAAAAAATGGGTCGATTCTTGGTTAGCCTCAAAAGACGTGTCGTTTTTTTGCGACGTGGAATTCAAATGCTGCCCGAAAGATGGGAAAAGCAGTGGCTAGCGATTGACAATAGTTTCAGTGACATGTTTCTTATTAAATCTTTGTAAATAAAACATTACTCTTGATAAAAAAAAAAATCGAGAACGTATTCAAGGTCTTAATACTGAATAGTACCTTAACGATAGTATTAAGTTGTTCAAAATATCATGTGTCCGCTTTGTTAATTTTATATCAAACTCGTTCAAAATTCTGTTCTCAAATACCTGGCGCATCCAGGGTATACGCTAAAGATAGTATTAGGCTGTTCAGAAAAGCATGTCGGATTTTATTTGTGCAAACATATATATTTACGCAATCCTAATGATTAATGTGTCCTCTTTGTTTATTTTATTTCAATCACATTCAGAATGTTGTTCTCAAATACCTGACGCGCCCCGGGTAGTGATTTTCTAAGCGTAGCTTAGATGTGGCACAAGGCCGAAAGTAGGGGACACCCAGTGAGGATCGAACTCACTACTCAGTTGTAATTGTTCTAGCGAGACAAGCTTGCTAACCATTACACCGCCTAGAGGTGCCCCCGACGGGCCCCGGGTATACGTTAAAATAGTATTAGGCTGTTCGGAAAATGGCGTCTGATTTTAGAATAAACCTTTTAATCTTATTCTAAAATATTATTATGAGTTACAGAAAAATATATATTACACCTTCCCAATGATTAATGTGTCCTGTTTGTAAATTTTATATGAATCTTGTTCAGAACTTAACTTTTAGAAAAAGCCTTTTATTTCTGTTCTAATATATTATTATAATAGTTACACAATAATATATTACTCATTTCTAATAATTAATGTGTCCTCTTTGTTAATTTTATATCAATCTTTTTTCCGAATTTAACTTCAAACATTATATACCCTCATCTTAAACAATGAAAACTGCTGCCAATATTAACAGAGCATGTGGGGAAGGATCTACTTGTGATTACACAATATGGCGCTGGTTTCTGGAATTCCACAGCGCGGATACGAGTCTTGAAGATCAACATAGTAGAAGACGTCCATTTCCAATTGACAATCAACACCTGAAAGATATAGTCGAAAAATAAGCAAAACAAAAAAAAAAAAAAGAAAAGAAAAGAAAAAGAAAACGAAAGAAATGTCTCCGATAATAAGTTTTAGCATTTCAATAATATTGGATTATCTCAATAAAATTGATAAGATGAAAAAACTCGATAAATGGGTTCCAAATGGAAGTGAAAGTGAAAGTGAAAGTGAAAGTCAAAGAGTTCGACGTTTTAATGTGTGTTCGAACGATCCATTTCTTCATCGAATAGTAACTTGTGATGCGAAAAGGATATTTTATGACAATCGTAAACGATGAAGCAGCCAAAACACTTTCTGAAACCAAAATGACACAAGCAGAAGCGCGTTGTGACTGTCTGGATGTCCGCCATTAGCGTTATCCTTCCCAGATTTCTCGAATGAAACGAAAGCATCGCCGATTCAAGATGCGACCAGCACTGGTTAATCGACGAAGTGCAGTTCTGCTTCGTGGCATAAATAATGTGCTGGTAGCGAGAAACGTGGTTTCCTTCTTACCATGACGGTACAATTAAGTTGCTCAGAATATGATGTCAGAATAAAATTTTTAATGGTGACTGTCACAGCTTGGACACGACATGCCGCGTACACAGTCAACTCATCCTCATTCACCTCATCTTCCATTAGTGAGGAGGAAGCTTCATTTAGCTTCTTCTGCACAACTAATTCAATGTGGAATGGGCTCCCGAGATAATTTCTGGTCAATACAATCTTAACCTCCCTAAGTCGAGAGTCAACTGTTATTTATCATATTAATTGACTGATTTGTTTTTTACGGGTTTTCATCACTTTGGGCATTATTTAAAGCCGAAATATATGTTTTATTTACCTTGCCAGTGAATTTTCTATTAACAAATGTTTGGGGATAATAATTACTTTTAGATACAAATCCTACTATTTAACCCATAGTTGGGGGAGAAGAAGACTAGTATTTGTTAAGTCTCGTCAAGCAAATAATCTACAATGTTATCGGTCCTGACATGGCATCTCGACTTCAAGCACTTCCCCAACGACATAAAGTTGCTTCTACGTATCTTTTTTAGTAAATATTTTCGTGACAATTGTTCTGATGAGGTCTCCTCTTTCTAACGTCGAATTTAAGCGCAGTTCTAGATTGGAGGCAAGCTCACCTTTCTTTTTACAACTGTAATTGCTAAATCCAACCGTAAGTTCTATGCTTGCAGTTTCTTATCTAACACCTCTCGTTTGTGGAACAGTCTTCCAGTTTCCACGCCATTTCGATTTTCGATTGCAATGTCAATCGTTAACTTCGGTTTACTTGATTTTATTGTTATCTCCACTTGATAATTTTTTTTTACTTTTCTCATATTATTACACACATATATATATATATATATATATATATATATATATATATATATATATATATATATATATATATATATATATATATGTTTTATTAAATAATATAGACAAGTGTTGTCTATTTATTTTATGTAATTTCTTTTCATAACGTCTGATAAGTTTAATAACATTATCGTTAAACGAAGAAAGAAAATCACAATATTGATCCATATTTTTTAATCCAATCTAAGCTTTCGGCTTACATAAGCCACTATCAAAGATGACAATTACTGTGCAATATATTAAGAAATATACGGACAAGACAGTGATGGTTCTGTTTACATGGATGATGTCCAAGCAACGATAAACATCGTGCATATAAGACGCTGGAAGCGAAAATCGCACCGCAGTTCAAGACGTCACACATGACCACGCGAGGGTGAATTGGAGAACTATTAAGTATGGGAAGCCGTTGGTATAGTTTACAAATTCAAGTGCCCTTTGAGAGATTGTATCTCCAACGAATTAAATAATATTTTTGTTGGTCACACTACAAACTCGCTTTCACGACGTTTGAAATTTTCATTGACTTTAAGATCATGGCTTTCCACAATTTTCTGCCCTTTATAGCTCTTTAAAATGTTTGTCTAGGTAGTTTATGCGTTATTTGCCTCTGTCATTCTTGCCATCAATCTGCCTTGTGAGTATCAAATTTTCCAAGCACTCTGTCCTCATTACGTGCTCATGAAACTTCATCTTTACTCACATTTTCCGCACATAGATAGATAGATACGAA